AAAATAGCTCAGCTGATCTTGATTCTCAGCCAGTTAATTTGGGCCTCATTTGATATTCATGAGGACATTGAAAGAAGGAACATGGATCATATTTAGTCTATTTAGGTCGATTTCGTTTGCCTGGCATGATTGTAACCGTTTGCGCAACCACTTGGAGTATTAGATAATAGCGTCCTCTGAACCTTGAGCTTCGAGTAATACTTCAGCCCTAAGATACACAATGTTATTCTTATAATAAATTTGATAGATGGAGACTTTTCTGCCTTTGATTTTTTGAAAGTTTCTTTTAATCAATCAGCGACTAAAGTCAGCTATTTTCGTGGCAGCGTCACGACTCCGGTCAAATGAAAAAAAAAATTGTCAACTATGCCAACATGGCAATTTGCATGGTAAAATACTCATTTAATTATCTCTTAATTCTGATAAACTGAAACTTTAGTTCATAGGTAATGTACACAGTTGAATGTGTCTTTTATGCGAGCTTTGGAGTACTGATGTTAGAAAAAAGAGGACTGTGTGTTGATAAAACGAACGTGATGTTCAAATCTGCTCGATTTTATTCACACGTAATAGCGACCTTTTGACAAATAACAGGAATAAATCCGCTTTTCAAATGAATTCAGGATAAACAAGTACACCAGATTGAGAGAGATTTTTATTTTCAGTTTTTGAAGGCTAACATATAGTCAGCCCTGCATGTGAGATCTTTTATTCTGCTCCTTTCATTTCCTAGTTTTTACTGCGGGAAAAAAAAAAACAAACTAAGGTTTTAATCCAATAAAGAGACAGACTTCGATTATAATCTAATTACACTGCCGAATATTTCTAAGTTTTGGACTGAGAATTAAGAATTAAGACATAAAGGAAGATATGAGTAACAACAGAAGGTGTTTTTAACTATGAAAAAAGCCAGCGGAAATAAACAAGAAACTGTTGTATTACAAACGAGACAAAAAAAAAACTTTTAATAATAAGAAATTCAACAAACAACCGACGCTTCTCATTTTTTCCTGTTCAGCTCTCTACAACTTGCCCTAAGGCAACACATATGCTAAGATGATCCAAGGTAAACCATTTTCAAAAGTCAGCAAATGAAGATTAGTTGAGTTATTTATAAAACAATACCGCCAAACAAGAGAATGTGAATGACATCTTCCTTACAATCATATTCCTTGAGGAAGATTCTGAGAATTCATTGAATTTTGTGATTTTGCTGGTGACAAGATCTTTCTTTTTTATCACTTTTAAGTCGTGTTTATTGATACTTCATCACACATTTTTCTAGTACCAGAGATGATATTTCTACGAATAATTTTACAATTTCAGGTAGGATAATTTCAGAGACGGATCGTGTTATATCGATAAAATTTCGTTTACAAAGCGTGAATAAAGGAATGTTCCAAAAGACTTTACTTTGATTTTCACTCCTGTGCTTATCAAGAAAAATTATATCCGTACCACAAATTGTTTATTGCGAAGTATTCGGTCATCTGAATGACAAAACATTTTGTCTTACTTCTTACATTCTGTCACAAAGTCCCCATGACCGTAAGATAGTGCAGAAATATAGTCCTGTTATCCAGAGTTCAGACGTGATCTTCAATAAATGAATGCCAGATACGATTAAGTTTGTGTATGGCCTTAAAAAGAGTTCTTCGAACCTTTTTCAGAATATTTTTCGCTCCATGAAGACGCTACAGAGAAATTCGCAGAAAGCGACCAATTTATCAACAACTGAAGTAAGCTACTGTATTTCAGTCAGAACGAAACGACTCCGGACAAAATTAGTTAAAAGTGGTAATTTGCATAGCTAAATACTCTTTTAGTTATTTATTATTATACTTAACTTGATCCTGTCAGACTAAAACCGAGCAAATGAAAACTGTTGAAGGTTTATTTTGTACAAGTTTTAGAGTAGTGTGGTAAACTATGTGATGATAAAACGAACGTGAATTTCAAATCTATTCGATTTTATTAACACGCGGTAACGCGGTGTCGAATATTTATAATTGTCTAGAATCAAGATATAAAGGCAGGCACAACTAAGAACAGAATTTGTCTCAAAAATAAAAACAGCCAGATAAAAACAAATATAAAATTTAGCAGTAACAAATTCCACAGAATGATATGGCAACCTAGGTCTAAAGGTTATTGAATTCAAGTATTTTTTGATCCGCTTCGATAATCTTAGCTTCGATAGGGTTAAGCAATTTCAATAATTAACTGATAACCAAGAGTTAAATAGGAAACCCTGTCAGTTAACTCTGTTTCGTATTTTTTGTTTTGTGATTAGTAACTTCCGCTAATTCTGCATAGTTAATAAGTTGTTTCGAGATCTTGTTTTGACGAGAATGCCTTCAAACAACGAGAGGGAAACAAGTAACAGTGTAAGAAGAAAACGAATTATCACCGACAAATTATAATTGTTGGAGGATCCGATCAGTGACTCTTTTCTTCACTTTTCTCGTTTCTTGAAATGTTATTTTCGCGTCTCATTTTTTTCCTCTTGAGCTTTCAACAATTTGTTCTCAGGCAACGCACACGACAAGATGATCCAATGTAACTCATTTTTCAAAAGTCAGGGAAAGTAGATTAGCTGAGTATTCCATAAAACAATACTGCCAAACAAGAGAATGTGAAATATTGCTTCCAGTCATGTTAATTATTAATCTTGACCTTTTCCTTTTATTAGAAATGATCTTTGCACACGTGCTTGATCACATAATTTCTGAAAGGAATCTTGTCATAGCTATGTAATTTCATTAACAATCGATCGAAAGAAGTATGTTCCAAATGACTTCACTTTTAATTTCACACCAGCGTATTTTAACATAAATTCAAATTGTACGTAACAAATTATTTTTTGCCAACATTTTCGAAACACCGTGTCGCCAATAAACGACCTCAAGAGTTATCCGACAAAAAAGGAGGAAATTTACTGGCTTCAAAATCATACCATTGGATCAAATTTCTAATTCGAACTAATCTAATCGAGTTTTTCTTACGGAGGCCAAAAGCTGAGAAATCCATAAAGATTTAAAAAAAAACCTTCGACCCACCGCTGTAGAGTCAACAGTAGTAAATCGTATCGTTTATTTAACCAATAATACAATATTAAATTTGATTTTCCTCCAAAAATCAGCTCAAATTCAAGCGCATAGCATATTTTCTTCGAGGCATATCAGTTACACGATAACGCATTTAAACTCAAAATTTAAGGGGTTACCTGGTTGGTGGAATTGATGTCGATCGAGCCAATCGGGTTTCATGTCTTATCCTACGCATATGACAGCTAGTCATGTTGTAAACATGTTTTTACGACCGCCAACTCGAAGGACTGATAAAACACTTGGCTTAGAATTGGTATAATATTTTACTCTGCTGCTAGCCACTTTAAAAAAGGTACGAGCTCTCTCCACCGGTCTTACATCTGAGGAACGAAGAAAGTTCTCTAGTACCTGTAGAGGTAAATTAGCGCACAATTTCAGGTGATACTGTTGATTCTTTTTTTTTATCGTTTTTCCTTTGAGATAGCCGCAAGAACAAGGTAAGAGAATGATTGAGCTCCTCTTATTAAGTGTGGCATGAATTGACTAGTAAATTATTTTTTCGCGTTTTCTCTCTTATCAGTGAGTCAATTACTATTTTCAAGATCAGACTGGTTTTGAGGTCAGAGAATCACTGTGAACTGCTTTAACTCCTAAGATCCTTCTAAATACCACATCAAGAGATCCATTGGGTGTCATGTTTTGTGTCACTGAAGACAGCAGAAACAAATCAAAAAAATCAGCCCATGTAACCCTTCTGCAAGTAATGTGCTTTGCCTCATTTTCTCTCTATTTACAGTTGAAGGATAAACAACATACAAGCTTGTGTGAACATGTCGCCCGACATTAAGGTGCTTTGGCTGATTTTACCGCTGATTGCTCTTTGCTATGCAGCAAAAAACAGCAGCAGCGGCGAGAAATCTAATGGTTACATGGTAAGTTAATTCTTTCCAAATATATCCCAACATTGTTATTGTCATCATTTCGTCTGATTGTGTCAGTCAGTGTCATTCCAAAAGAGAATGGTGAAGGAGAAATTCACTGAAAACTGGAAACAGAAGAAAGATTGCCCGACACTTTGATTCTTAGAAAGATGAATTTGTCACAACTGATCTTAAAACAAAAAGTAGTTATAATTCTTCCATGAACAAAAGTTATGTGTGTGTGTTTTTTTCTAAACACAGGGCGCTTACCCATATCCACCGCATGGACCCTGTGCTTATGGTACTCCTTTTGGCGCGCCAGGGATACCAGGTATTCCCGGGAGCCCAGGACCCGCGGGACCCACGGGCATCGCAGGACCACCCGGTCCTCGTGGTTCTACGGGACCACAAGGGGACAAGGGCGACGCCGGAAAGCCAGGAAACCAAGGCCTTACAGGTCCACAGGGACCTCCAGGAAAAATGGGACCTCAAGGGTCCACAGGCCGACAGGGTCCACGAGGAACCAAAGGTGATTCAGGGGATAAAGGAAGCCAGGGAGCCCCAGGCCTCCGGGGACCTCCAGGAGCTCTGGGAAGTAATTGGAAACAATGTGTATTCAAAAATTTAAACGATGGAAAGGACACTGGCTTGATAAAGGTACTTCAGTTTTTCTTTCAATTAATTGCAATTTTACAAAATTGTATTTGACATCATTGCTTGAATAGACGATTCCTATCAAATTTTGACTAAAAGAAGATCGAGTTATGCAGCAAGCTAAAATAATTTTTTCTGTGGCAGAAGAACGAAACTGTGAAGATAAACCCTAAGTAGTTAAAGGATTCGTAAACTGGACTTGATTTAGGACTTTTATCGCTCAGAGACATTTCGAATTCATATTGTTCACAGTTAACCACATTTATTTCTCCAGGAATGCCTTTTCATCAAAAAGTCGGCCAAAACAGCTCTGCGCGTGTTTTGGAGTGGCAACCTCCGCCTCTATAACTGCCATGCTTGCTGCAGACGATGGTATTTCACCTTAAACGGCGCAGAGTGCTCAGCTCCTGCTGCAATTGACGGCGTAGTCTACATGATATATGGAAATGGCGCCAAAAAGGATTTACACCGCCCCCGTCATATCGAGGGTGTGTGCGAGAAAGTCCACAAAGGTGTTGTGCGCGTGGGATTCTGGGTCGGTAACTGTAAAGGTTACGGATCTGCTGACGCATACACAGGCTGGAACTCAGTGTCCCGGATCTACGTGGAAGAAGTACCACCCCCACAGGCATAATGTCTTGTAACCTACCATGGTTTCATTGCTCAATATCTAACAGCAGAATAAGAACAATAGCACAATCAGGAATCTTAGATTTAGCAGTCGGGATAAAATACAGTAAAGTTGTGAAATCGGGCATATTTAGCTTCTGAACTATATAGAGTGGGGATGCTGCCATGACAACTCGCAAATAAAAAGAAGGTTTTCACTAAAAATCTAGGAGTGTTTGGTGTGTGTTTGGTTATTAGGGCTGAGCTTATTTCAAAGACCTCGTTTATGATGTTTTGACATTTGACCGTTTATCTCAGTGTAGAAAATAAGAGCACCCACGAGTGAGTCCTGCTACAAACTTCTTTCCTGACGGGATTCTTTCCAAAAAATTGAGATTCATGCGTAGAAGAGATTTAAGTCCTGTATATACCGAAAATGTTAGGTTTCTATTGCTACTCCGACATGGAACCGTCCTATATATGTAATAATAGTGGATGTCGAATTATTATTTAAAGGCCAAAAAAAAAAAAAAACAGACAAACAAACAAACAAAAACCTTCAAGCTGATAACCTTATTTGCAAATAACCTATGTCTGCAAGAGAAGCGCGCTCGGATTTCTCTTACTCTCCTTCTATCACCTTTAAAGAAAAAAAAAATCAGGATAATTGTAATAGATTCATTCGTTTGAAAGCTACAAGCTCATCATCCGACAATAGTCGTCTTGTTTGACTAAAAGAATAACCCTTTCCTCTTTCCTTAAGAATTTGAATGGCTCCAGTAACAGACACCTGGTGGAGACGTTATCGTAGTAATGAAACTTATCAGGCTAAATCATAACCATTACAATTTCCTCAGATGTGATTGGTCCGTTAGTTGCTTTATTTTCTCTAATTATTATGTGCAGATGTAATCGGACAATTGGCCGTGATCAGACACCTATAACCGGACAGTTAAAGCAGCCAATCATACCAAGTTCACTCAGCAAAATCCACCAATCACATAATTAATAACAATAACCATAGCAATAACCACTTACCCTTCAAAACTGGCGAATTTCCAAAATGGAGGAGGTTTTTACCTTAGATAATCAATTCTGAAAGCCCTTTCTCCAATTAATTCATTTGATCTTCTCGGAAATTGAAATGGTTGTGATTATTGTTAACTGTACTTCATATTGTCCAGTTCGGTCTGTAATCATGCTCGTGATTAACAAATCGGACTCCCGCTTTGCGATGGTCAGATTTCGTAATGTTTCATTTGATTAAAGACCAAATGAAACCCTAGTCAGTCCTATTATTATTATTACTAAGTCACTACATCTAATATTTTAAACTTCAAATGTGTGCGCTAGCGAAAAATTATGGGCGAACTGTAGTAAGCCTTCCACATCTCAGCAAGCAAAACCCGAGATTTCATCTTAAAGGTACTCCACACGAAGAGGAGGAGGGTTTTTATTGCTTTTGAAATTGTTGTAATATTACATTTGTGACTTCGACTGGGCAAAAATAATTAAGCATAATGGGCATCACTTACTGACCCAGTTATGGAACGTGAGGCGTGTGTTCAAGTTTGATTATTTTATTTAGAATAAAATATCTTGCGATATACGTGTAGTTGTTGTTAAAGTTCTTTGATTGTCAATAATAGAAGGCATTTCACAATCAAATACTTTGAAATATAGTGGATATAACCTAGATTGCCACAAGCTGACTAACCATAATTGTGATGATCATGAAATTCAATAAAACCATAATAATCTGATCAATTTATATTCATGTCTGCCTGGCTTACAAAATGTCGAAGACGAGCTTTGATGCGCTCGCCTTTTCTCTGCATTTCGTGAACTTTAAACGGATATTTTACCTCGACATTGACGAGATCATGAAAACTTACTCTCCCACCATAAAAACGTTTCATTACCACTTCAAGGTCGCATCACTCTAACAAATAGTTGAACGTAAATTCAGAATCTTTACTATTTCTGATGAGCGCTGTTTTTTTCGTTTTCAATTCACTTTGTTAAGCACAGATGATACCCAATGAACTCAATTATGTTCAAAATAGGCACTTATGCGGTCGATATTTCATTTCCATCCGTTTTTGGTGTGACGACGTGAACATTGAATGGTGATAAGTTTTAAAACACACTAAAGTCACATTCGCGCTCGGGGTGGAATAACACAGATCTGAGGGACAACAAAAATAAATTTTTCACCATACGGACCGACCCTAGGCCGGTAAATAACATATCTATTTTTGTAAAAAACTTAACGAAATTCTTTCCCAAAGAACCCGAATGATTTAGGGTTGTAAAGAAGTCAAAATCTTCCATAAACTAAACAATTTTTGAGCGAGTAAATGATAGTTAAAATAGGGGTGATGCAAATTAAAGGGAGATGCTTCACCAAAACATTTCATTTGCGTAATGATAAAGGTGATTTAAAAGGCTTCCAAACAAATTTTGAAACATTATTTTGACAAGTATCTGTCTCAATCTGACACCTGTCAATTAGAGAGCGCGTATGAAAAAAAGAAAGCGCATGTACACTTTTAAAAAACAACGAACTCTCACGACAATGTTTTCAGTTCCTTAAGTAAACGGCAAGGAAAGTAATTGTAAGTAAATTCAATTTTTTGTTTTGAAGTTGTGAGAGTTTACTCGTTTGTTTGCTGCAATGGCGTGTATAAATCTGGTCTTTCCTCCACAAAAACTAAATTCGAATGATACACTCTAACGAGACACAAGGGGATTTAATGCAGCCTTTTCTCATTGAATTCCTTCAGTTTATAATACAAATGTCCAAATTGAACGGATTTAGAAGGACCGTGACTTAACGAGAGCGTATATTTGTTGTAGAACTGAAATTAAAACTTCGCTCGCTCTCTCACTACGAACAAATTGTTAGAGAAATTTCAGATATTAAATGAATAAAAGTTCCATCGATTAGTTCAACTGTAACCAAATGCCTCACGTTTTAACTTTCTGAGTACTTTTTTTGAACGATTAAAATTAATCGCAGAAGGTTTTTAGGCCGCCTGTCAACCAAAGTACTGACACTATTGCTTATACAAATTCATTCTGAAACCAATATTTTTCAATTCAGATTGCAGGATTCGTTACCGTGCCCTCTGAAAAATAAACAATGTTATTCCTATGATAAATTTGATAGATGGAGACTTTTCTGCCTTTGCTTTTTTGAAAGTTTCTTTTAATCATTTAGCGACTAAAGTCAGCTATTTTCGTTGGAGAGGAATGACTCCGGTCAAATGAAAATTGTCAACTATGCCAACATGGCAATTTGCATAGTAAAATACTCATTTAATTATCTCTTAATCCTGATAAACTGAAACTTTAGTTCGCAGTTAATGTATACAATTGAATGTTTGTTTTATACGATCTATACGATCTTTATACGATCTATACGATCTTTGTTTTATACGAGTACACCAGATTGAGAGAGATTTTTATTTTCAGTTTTTGAAGGCTAACATATAGTCAGCCCTGCATATGAGATCTTTCATTCTGTTCCTTTCATTTCCTAGTTTTTCTGGCGGGAAAAAAAAACAAACAAAAGGTTTAACCCAGTAAAAAGATTTCAAATATAATCTGATTAAACTGCCGAATATTTCTAAGTTTCGACTGAGAATTAAGAATTAAGACATAAAGGAAGGTACATGTGAGAACAGAAAGTATTTTAACTATGAAAACAGCCAGAGGAAATAAACAAGAAACTGTTGTATTACCAACTTGACGTAAAAATAAACTTTTAATAATAAGAAATTCAACAAACAACAGACACGTCATATTTTTTCCTGTGCAGCTTCCTTCAACTTGCCCTCAGACAACACATATGCTAAGATGATCCAAGGTTAATCATTTTCAAAAGTCAGCAAAAGAAGATTAGCTGAGTAATTCATTAAAAAAAATACCGCCAAACAAGAGAATGTCAATGACATCTTCCTTCAATCATATTCCATGTGGCAGTTCCGAAGATTTCATTGAATTTTGTGATTTTGCTGGTGACAAGATCTTCCTTTTTTTCTACTTTTTAAGTCATGTTTATTAATTTTCCAACCCACGTTTTTCTAGTACCAGAGATGATATTTCTACGAATAATTTTACTATTTCAGATAATTTCAGAAACGGTCGTGTTACATCGATAAAATTTCGTTTACAAAGCGTGAATAAAGGAATGTTCCAAACGACTTTACTTTGAATTTCACTCCTGTGCTTATCAAGAAGAATTATATCCGCGCCACAAATTATTTAGTGCGAAGTGTTCGGTCATCTAAATAACAAAATATTTTGTCGTATTTCTTACGTTCAGTCACAAAGTTCCCATGATCCTGACAGACTGAAACTTTATTTCATAGCCATTGAAAACTGTTGAAGGTTTATGTTGTACGAGTTCTAGAGCAGTGTGGTAAACTACGTGTGGCGTGGTAACGACCTTTTGTCAGGTAACAGGAATAACTTCGCTGTTGGGCAAAGGAGGTCAGAATAAACAAGTACACCATGACAAAAAAACATTTCTATATTCGCTGAATGAAAACTAACGTATATTCTCCACTGCTCATGTTACCTTCTATTCTACCATTTCTGGTACTTTACAGCGGAAAACAAACGAAAACAATATTCTTTCTTCTAACCTGGTTAAAAGACGTAAACTGTAATTTAATTACGCTGGCGAATATTTATAAGTCTCTAGAATCAAGACATAAAGGCAGGCAAAACTAAGAACAGAATTTGTCTCAAAAATGAAAACAGCCAGAGAAAAACAGATATAAAATTAAGTGGTCAGAAATTCCACAAAGGACAGAATAATAGAGTAACATAGGTTATTGCATTCAAGTATTTTTTGATCCGCTTCGATAATCTTAGCTTCGATAGAGTTTAGCAATTCCAATAATTAACTGATAACCAAGAATTAAATAGGAAACCCTGTCAGTTAACTCTGTTTCGTATTTTTTGTTTTGTGATGAGAAACTTCCGCTAATTCTGCGTAGTTAATAAGTTGTTTCG